TGTAGATTATCATATTTTTTGGTGTCTTTTAAAAAATTTTCAATCTTGGAATAAAATGACCTTTTTGTGAAGATTATTGGGTCATTTATGGTTGATCTTTTGCTATTTCTTCTCTAAAAGTTAAATACATCAATTTTCATCTTTTAAAAATTATTGAGTAATTTCTGATTGATATTTTGCTATTTCTTCCCTTCAATTTACAACTGAAGATTATTATATTTTTGGTGTCTTTGAAAAAATTAAAAATTTTTTCAATCTTGGGAATTAAAAGACCTTGTTGTGAAGATTATTAAGTGATTTTTTTAGTTGATCTTTTGCTATTTCTTCTTTAAAATTTATCACCATCAATTTTCATCTTTTGAAAATTATTGAGTGATTTCTGGTTAATATTTTGCTATTTCTTCCCTACAATCTACAACTGTAAACCATTATATTTGTTGGTGTCTTTTAAAAAATTTTTTATTTTTTCAATCTTGGAAAAAAATGACCTTATTGTGAAGATTATTGGGTCATATTTGGTTAATCTTTTATTATTTATTCTTCCATATAAATTACAATCGTTAATTTTCACTTTTGTTGGTGTTTTTTGAAAATTTTTCAATCTCTCTAACCTTGAGAATAAAAAGACCTTTTTGTGAAGATTATTGGGTCATTTTTAGTTGATCTTTTGCTATTTCTTCTTTAAAAGTTATGAACATAAACTTTAATTTTTTGAAAATTATTGAGTAATTTCTGGTTAATATTTTGCTATTTCTTCCCTACAATTTATATCTGCAGATTCTTATATTTATTGGTGTCTTTTAAAAAATTTCAAATTTTTTCAACCTTGGAATAAAATGACCTTATTGTGAAGACTATTGGCTCATTTTCCATTATTTGTTCTTTTTTATAAATTACAATCGTTAATTTTCATTTTTGTTGATGTCTTCAAAAAATTTTTTAATTTTTCTAACCTTGAAAAGAAACGACTACTGTTAATATTATTGAGTCACTTCTAGTTGATCTTTTACTATTTTTTCCATATAAATTACAATAATTAATTGTCATCTTTTAAACATATTTAAACTTGTTTAATCTTGAAATAAAAAGACCTCTAAAAAAATTATTGGATTACTATTTGTTAATATTTTTCCATTTCTTCTTCCACATAAATCCCAATCATTGTCAATTTTTGTTGGTATTTTCAAAAAATTTTCCAACAACTTAAACCATAAAATGAAGAAACCTCCATTTCTTCCCACTTTCCACGAAACACTAAAAATCTAATTTCGAAACCCCGATTACTTAATAAAGAATAAAAAAAATCCATCGTTAACTTTATTTTAATTTTCTTCCTCCGTCGCTTTCATTATTTCTTCTTTCATTTTATCTGGTTTCAACTAAAATATATATCTCTGGTGTATCCTAAAAAAACAAAGCCCTAAAAATGCTTTTCAGCAAAAGCTTTGATAATAATCCGTCTCTTTTCTTCTTTATACTCTCGAATATAATGGAGAATTTTTAAATAAAACCTCATTTGTGCTTTGCAAAAAATTCTTTTTTTTTTAAGCTTCAGAGATGGAAATTAAAAGTACTTTTTACGGAATCTATTTTATGACGATTGAGATTTATATTTATACATATAAACCTCGAAAATCTATTCCTTTATACAGCTTCAATTTAAAATAAAAATAAATTTTTAAATTAAAAAAATTTTATCAACTTCAAAATTTAAATTAATTACAAAAATTAATTTCAATTTATTATTTTGATATTGATATCATCTGAATCTTCAAATTAATTAATTTCTATCTATAATATTAAGATCCCGTCTTCAAAAATGTAAAAAACGATTTCTCAACAAGTCAGTTGGTATTTTAAAAAATAAAAAAAAAAATATATATATATATATATAAAACCGGGTTTTATTGGTCAGGTCGACAGGTCACTTAAATATTAAATTTATCCAATATCTATATACACACATATGTAATGTTTTAATAATAAGCCCCTCTGTTCTGTTCCGTCTATCATTGAATTAAATTCTATACATATGTATGTAAGTATTATATGTATGGTACTCTATCTCGCACAACATTGTAGGTATATTATGAAAGGATTATTTTGGAGTATTACTGTTAGGTTCTCGTCTATGACGAGCCTCTCCTCTATTTTGTATAGTATCCAACTATACCATTCAATCGATAGCTAATGTGCATACTTGTGAATACTAAACTTGTCTATGACTCACACGTTAATCAAACTTTCCCGCTACACCCACCGCTGAATGCTAACATATATATTTTATTTAACATTTCTTTACCTAATTTATATAATAATTAATAATATTAGGTAATATTATTATAAAAATCACAATTACAATATTATTAAAAAAAAACTACATTATTTTTTTTTTAATGCTTGAAATTGTTTATTTTTATATTTTAATGAGTTTTTCAATTTTTATTTATTTGTAACAAGTTTTCTATGCCAAATTTTTTTTTAAATATTTAATTTAATTAAAAAAATTTCTAAGTACACATTTTATAATTTTTACACAAAAAGCAACTATTTTTCTGTTTAAAATTTTTTTGCGGAGTGAATTTTATTAATAATATAAGGTAAAAGACCCAGTTATTGACACTGGCCTAGTTATTAACACTTGCAATTTTATTTTAATTAAAAAAAAAACAAATTAATAAATATAATTTTTGAATCATAAATTTTAAAAAAGTAATTTTTTAATTTTATTTAACAAAAAAATTTGTCACAAAAAATAATTGCATTTTTTATTTTTTTAAATTTTCACATGTCAATTTTTTTTTTATAATTTTTTTGCCATAATTTATTTGTTATATAATTTATTAATAATATAAGGTAAAAGACCCAGTTATTGACACTGGCCTAGTTATTAACACTTGCAATTTTATTTTAATTAAAAAAAAAACAAATTAATAAATATAATTTTTGAATCATAAATTTTAAAAAAGTAATTTTTTAATTTTATTTAACAAAAAAATTTGTCACAAAAAATAATTGCATTTTTTATTTTTTTAAATTTTCACATGTCAATTTTTTTTTTATAATTTTTTTTGCCATAATTTATTTGTTATATAATTTTAAAAATAATTAAATATATGCTAAATTAATTTTCATGAAAATTGAATTTTTGAGAACATTTAATTTTTTTAATTAGAATAAAATTGCAAGTGTCAATAACTGGGTCTATTATCTTAAATAAAATTTCACTGTTAATCTTCTATAGTATATATCACTAAAAACTTCATTAAAGATCTCCTTAAATCAAAAAAATTCTTAAATATTAAAATTTTGGCTTTTTTTCATAAATTTCTTTAAATAATTAAAACTGATGTTTTAAAACAAACTTTAATTTAAAACAATAAATTAAAATATTTTTAGTAGCTAAAAAAGCACGAAATCTTCAATTAGAATCAATATATAGTCTAAAATTATTGTTTTTAATTTTTTTCAGACAAAATTTTAAATTATTAAAATTTTTTTGGACGTGATAAAGATTTTAAGATTTAAAAATAAAATTATCCTAGATCAATTAGTATTTTTTCAGTGTAATTAAATAAAACGAAGGAGAGATTAATGTAACGGATAGGTAGCAAATAAATAATGAATCCTGAATAAAACATCTCTGTTATCCTGACGTTTAATTGCAGACTTGGGATGTCAAGAAGATAATTGACGGATTAGTTTAGAGTTAAATAAATAAAAAATGAATTTTTGTAAGCGTGTGTCTACCGCCAAAATTAACCGCGCATTGTTTCTGGGATCGTTGACCTTTGCAAGAATATATTTAACTTTCTAATCACAGGTGCTTTGCATGTTTCTAATTAACATCATCCTGATGCTTCATTTAAATTTATTTTGAGTTGAGACTCAGACCGGAGAGACGCTACAAGAGTTACTCTTCAGGGTCTATATTTTATGTTCTTATTATATAATTTTGATTTGTTAATCAATTTTATAATTTTATTATTTTACTTTTATATCACCGCTCTATGAATATAATAGTCGTTTTGTATAGGGGCGTGGTGCGACCTTAGTATAAAGGTCACGCATCGCGAACACCTAAAAAACACTGCACTAGGACAAAATATATTTAGTCAATACGCTCGTTGAATATCATTCACTAAAACATGAATGAAAGTTCCTCATATATTATATATTGTATATTTCCTGTTATTTATATGTATACCGCTGGAAAGATTTAGTAATTAAATTATTCATTCAATATATAATATTATTTTTTTTTATTTTTAATTAATATTTTTTGGGAAGAAATATTATATTAAAAAATTTATCAATTATAATAAATTTATAGCGTTTGATAAAAGATTTGTTAACTTTTAATAAATAAATAAATTTAGTTAGAAACAATTTATTAAATTGTTAGGTAAAAACAATTATTTATTAACTTTGAATAAATATTTTTTGAGAAATATTTAAACTATTTAAAAGTTGAGAAAAAAATTTATTAACTCTAAATTTATAGCCTTTAATAATAGATTTGTTAATTTTAAATGAATTAATTTGTCTATTAAATTATTAAGTAAAAACAATTATTTATTAATTTTTAATAAATGTTTTCTGGAAAGAAATATTTAAATTATCAACAATTAAAAAAAAAATTATTAATTATAAATTTATAGCTTTTAATAAATTAATTTGTTTAGAAACAATTTATTAAATTATTAACTAGAAGGAATTATTTATTGACTTTTAATAGATATTTTTTGAGAAGAAACATTTAAATTATTAACAATTTAAAAAAAAATTTATTAACTCTAAATTTATGACCTTTAATAAAAAAATTTGTTAATTTTTAATAAATTAATTTGCTTAAAATCAATTTATTAAATTATTAATTAAAAGCAATTATTTTTTAATTGTTAATAAATATTTTTTAGGTAGAAATATTGAACTTATTATAAACAGTTAAAAAATATTTACTAATTATAAATAAATAGCTTTTAATAAAAAATTTATTAATGATTATAATAAAGTTAATTAAATTTTTGATGAAATTTTATTCTTGCATTTGCTTCTATAATTTTCCAAGTTTTCGCACTAAAAAAAACGAATTTATTAAATTTCAATAAATTGATTTATTAAAATATAATTCATTAAGTATAATTCAATTTTTAAATCTTTAGTAATTATTTATTATGAAGAAAAATCAAAATTATTAATTTATACCATCCAAAAAAACAATTCTTTGATCTACAATTATCAATCTTAATAATTTATTTTATTTCTTAGATTTTTTTATAATAAAAAAATATTAATTTAAATTTAAAAAGTTTTTAAATAAATTTTTTTCTCATTTTTTATTTAAATTAATATATTATATTTAATAAATAATTTTTTAACTTTTAATAAATATTAATTAATAAATCCTTTTATCACTAAATGATAATTATTATTAAATTTTAATTAAAAATTCTTCACATAAAATAAATATTAATAATAATTTAAATCAGCGAATTTTCAATAATCCATCAAACAAATTTAAATTATCCAAAAAATTATAAAACTGAAGAATGCAGAGTAATTAAAACATTCCCTAGCTCTCAATAATATTCAATTATTAATAATTGAAAGTGAAATGAATAACACGATTAATTATTATGGAATTGTTGCAGGCCTACCCAGAATTACATAAACATCAAGAGCAGCAGTCCGGTGTCACCCCGAACAGTAGGCGGCGGTTACGGCGGCCAGGGTGCACCAAGCACACCATCGTCTGGAGGGGCAGTGGGTCCACCCGGGAGCGGAAGTGTTTCTGGCGTAACAGGGGTAGTCACCGGTTCTGCCGGCAGTAATTACGTCACCGTGCCAGTGCCCAGTACTCTTCGCTATGTACACTCTTATCCGCCTCCACCACCGCCACCGGCACCGTCCGCTCCTGTCAATCAGACGCCACCTCCACCGGGAGCCGCGGCTTACACCAGAGATCCCTATAGAAATACTACCCCCAATGTACGTATATTCATTTATAAATAATACATAAATGTACTAAAATATGATACCTCTATCTCCATTATTCCAGAATAATGATGTTATTATTATACGTATGAGAATTAAGTTTCAATCAGCGAATTTTTATTTTATGAAAACCAGCGACCTTGCAGTCACTACGTGATTTGTGAACTATAGTAGATTAAAATTTTGCTTTATTAAATAATGACTTTTGATAAATTGCACTGTATTTTCTTAACTATTGACCTTTTTAAAGATCTAAGCTAATCCTGATGTTACACTTATCAAGAGCTTTAATTTGAGTACCCACATGCATTTTCATATATTTTTCATATATACATATATATTTAATATATATAAATATATGAAAATTTGATGTAGGTACTCAAATGAAAGGTCTTGATGAGTGTAACTCCAGGATGAGCTTATATCTTTAAAAATTTCAATGTTTCACAAGATATTTGTTAAATTACACTGTACTTTCTTAACTATTGACATTTTTAAAGATATAAGGTCATCCCGATGTTACACTCGACAAGACCTTTCATTTGAGTACCCACATGCATTTTCATATATTCATATATATAAATATATAAAATATATGAAAAATTGATGTGGGTACTCAAATGAAAGGCCTCGATGATTGTAACATCCGGATGAGCTTATATCTTTAAAAATGTCAATATTTCACAAGATACAAGGTGATTTCTTAATTATGTATCTAGCGATAGGGTATTTTCGAATGCAGCCTTATCATAATAAATTGACTATCGATGAGAATTAAATAAAACTTCAAAAAGGCACAAATTTAAGTCAAGACTTTTTCAATGACACCAAATTTCACCAAAAAAAACCGATTTTATCATATGACTATGATGGAAACACAATTTTTCTTATTCTCTTAATAATATAGATTTAATTACTCGATATTTGAAAATTTTATTATTGAAAAAATTATTTTATAAAAATATTAAATGACATTAAAGTAAGCAATCACTTAACTTTCACTTTAACTTCTAATTTTTATAGATTAAAAAAATCAAAAATTGTCGATTTTCTTTCAATTTTAGTATAATTTTATTTTAATAAATTATTTATATAGTTTCACTCCCGCTCAATCAAATAAAATTTTCAAACCTCATTTGGGAAATAATTAGTCATTACCACTCATTCTCCGCCTCCCTATTAATCAAATTTAATTGTAACTTTATGTTAATTTTAATCCCATTAAAATGCAATTATTGATGAGAATACTTTAGTTCGTTTTATTGTCGACTCAATAATAATTATTATGTTTCACTTTTTCAGATTAACGAGGTCCGATCACTGTTAGTGAAAAATACAATTAATGAGGATATATTATTAAAATTCACTCTTTTTTTTTTAGAGTACCAGTCATTAAAGTTATATTAAAATCGTTTTTACCGGTATTTAAATGAAGAAAAACGCCTAAAGACTTTGTTTTGTATTTTTAAGGCTGCGCTTAACAAGATGGAGTCTTTTTTTCAAAATGGCGGATGCGCGCGCAAGTTAATTTAACTACATACTTACTTTTTAGTCTTCTAACTAAATAAAAAGTCTTTTTTCAATTTAAAAAAAAAAATTAATTAATAATTATAAAAATTAAAAATTTTTTAAGATTAGATTTAAAAAAAAAAATTAATTGTGAAGATAAATTTTTTAATTAAATTTTTTAATATTTATAAAGAAAAAAAAATTAAATTGAATGAAAGAAATTATTTTTAAAAGTTTCATTTTTAATTAAGTAAAAAAATTTTTAAATTAATAAATTTTTCTTAATTTAAAATAATGAAATGTTTCAAAATAATTTTTTTTTTTATTTAAATAAAAGTTAGTTTTTTTTTTTTAATGTATAAAACTCAGCAGCGATTGGACTTGTGTTAATCATAAAATATAAACTATAAACTATAATTAACGGTAATTTTTTTTTAGATATTTATAAATGAAGGAGAATGTGCTTGAATGACCACAAAGAAAATAAAAACCAGCGACAATAGTGCGTAGACGAGTGGTTGCCGTTGATAGACTTAGACACGAGTTTTCGATAAAAAGGCAACCATTCGCGTGGGCGAGCACGGGTGAAAGTTGTATTTTCTTGGCGGCTGGTATCCATCTCCATCCCTCTACTCATATAATACCCGTACACTCGGTCTGATTGTTGTTGCGGCTTCCTCTCCCCTCCATTGATCGCCAGTGGTTTTTAGTCGCGCAAACTCTACTGGAATCCACACCGATGCACCCAGCAATTTTCTGCCTAAAAAAAGTCTAATCTGGTCAAACATGTTTTTTTAGATTATTTAGATGTATCCCGTTACGTCTAGTTACTTAATGTTCTAGTTTTTTAAAAGGACAAGAAGAAATTTCTTCAATTTCTTGTATTAAAAAAATGAAAATATTTTAAAGAATTTTTGCTTGATTAATGAAATTGCAATTTTTCGTTAAAATTAATAAATCTATATTATTAAGAGAATAAAAAAATTTTGTGGCCCGTATATTTATATGATAAAATGGGCCTTTTTAGGAAAATTTAGTGTCATTGCAAAGGTCGTGATTTAAATTTGTGCCTTTTCAAGGTTTCATATCATTCTCACCAATAGTCAATTTATGATGATAAGTACTTAGGCTGCATTTGAAAATTATCTCTAGATACATAATTAAGAAATTACCTTTTATCTTGTAAACGATTGACATTTTTAAAGATATAAGCTCATCCCGATGTTACACCCATCTAGACCTTTCATTTGAGTACCCACATCAATTTTTCATATATTTATATATATTATGTATATGTATATATGAAAAATATATAAAAATTCATGTGGCTACTCAAATGAAAGCTCTTGATGAGTGTAACACCGGGATGAGCTTATATCTTTAAAAATGTCAATAGTTAAGAAATGACCTTGTATCTTGTGAAATATTGACATTTTTAAAGATATAAGCTCATCCCGATGTTACACTCATCGAGACCTTTCATTTGAGTACCCACATCAATTTTTTATATATTTATTTATTTATATATATTATGTATATGTATATATGAAAAATATATGAAAATACATGTTGCTACTCAAATGAAAGCTCTTGATGAGTGTAACACCGGGATGAGCTTATATCTTTAATAATGTCAATAGTTAAGAAATGATCTTATATTTTGTGAAATATTGACATTTTTAAAGATATAAGCTCATCCAGATGTTACACTCATCAAGACCTTTCATTTGAGTACCCACATCAATTTTCCATATATTTTATATATTTATGTATATGTATATATGAAAAATATATCAAAAATGCATGTTGGTACTCATATGAAAGCTCTTGATGAGTGTAACATCAGGATGAGCTTATATCTTTAAAAACGTCAATATTTAATTAAGAAAGTACAGTGCAATTTAACAAAAGTCATTATTTAATAAACCAATATTCTATTTATTTATATTTCACAAGTCCTGACAGTCACATAGTTGCTAATATTTTTTAAATTTTCCAAGAAGAAATTTCTTCAATTTTTAAATTTCTAGTCAAAAATTTGTTGTATTAAAAAAATAAAAATATTTGAAGAAATTATCTTTTGATCAATGAAATCCCATAATAAAATTGAGATGAAATGTATGTGGCATCAAACTATTCGTAACGTGATTGATCGAATATATCATAAGCATGAAAATATATGCAAACCCTACAGTTATGCGCGCGCTTGCGCGCGCAAAATTCAATTCTAGTTGTATCTTAAAATTGAAATGAAAAAATTGACTTAATTGGGATTTTAAATGAACAAAATTTTTAATTAAAATTAACAATAATTTTCATGAAGAAATTTCTTTAATTTTAAAATTTTTTCTCAAAATATTTTCTTTTTAAAAAATAAAAATATTTATCGCTTGATTGATGAAATTTAAATCAACAATTTATATAAAAAGTACCATTGATTTAATTTAAAATTTTTCACCAAAATTAACAAAAATTTTCCAATAAGAAATTTCATCAATTTTAAAAAGTTTTGTGTTAAAAAGTAAAAATATTTTAGAGACCTATCGCGTGATTAATGAAATCCCAGTTCACAATTCACACGAAAAGTAACATTGAATTATTCCAGTTTATCATTACAGCAGTTTTGTTGAAGCGAATCCTTCTTAAAAAAAAAAAAAAAAAAACAAAAAACAAAAAAAAAAGTAAAGTCTCCGACGATATAATTTGACGGTCGCGTGATAAGAAGAAGTATAAAGTATAACCTGGTATGTCTTGTTTTGCCGATTATTACTCCCGTTTGATCGTTATTCGCGTCTCCTCCTGCTCGTTGTTCCCCGGTCGTCTGATTGAAATAATGCAGCGACGAAAAAAGTTATCTTTCAGAAGCTATAGTTAAAAAAAAAAGCCTTTCTCGTCAGTAATAAAATGAGAGACTGTAGAAAGTAATTGAAGCATAATGTATAATGTACTTTTTTATTTGCAGGCATCTGAGAGGGTGGCAATAAGCGTGGGCAGCAGTCCGGTGTCCCAGGTTGGGGGTGTCGGAGGGAATGAATACGCCCTCAATAGTCGGGGCGACCGTCCACGAATATCTCTGCTTCCACCTGCCTCGGGAGCCCCGACGACTCAGCTGACTATCGGCCCTGAGTATATGATCAGCTCTAGGAATAACAACCCGAGAAATTTGATGCCCATGCAGCAGACACCTGACCAGTACACCAGCAAGGCCGTCGAAATGGCGACACTGCAGGATGCTCCACCTTTTAAAAAAATTAGACTAGGCCAGCCTCAGTCCCAGCTTATGGCTCAGACTATTCCTGCTGGTGATCCTTGCATCAAGCAAGAACATGTCCAGCTTCCTCAACCGCTCAGGATAGACACTCGGGTGCGTTTTTTTTTTCATATTAATATATGGGTGATTCTCTGTAAGGACGTCTTAAATCTGTACAAAATTGTCCGACCAAATTATTTTTGATTTTATTAGAAATAAAATTAACAAGGGCTACAAAACTATCAGCTTAATCATAATAAATAAACAGCCGAATTAATTTTTGCTTTTTCGATATTTGTGTATTTTTTGTCATATAACATCACAGGGGACTGTTTGCCACAATGCATTCAACTTTTCAAGTTTTCAATGAATATTTACATTAATTAGAATAATATTAAGACTTATGGATCGAATTTTATAAATAAATTATAAATAAAAATAGTTGCCAGGGGACTGACATTTTGAAGTGGCCCAGACACATATTTCCAGCACAAACGGTGCTTTGACACTAAATAAAATGCCGATAAAGCGCTAACAGTCCTATGGTTATTAACTCAAGGCTAGTTAGGTCCTTATAAACCTTACAAAAGGTAAAATAACACGCTGGATTTTTTTTTTAGCTTTGAACTTCTGGCAGGGGACTGTTCTTAAAATGCCTGGGACAAACTTTGGTTTAATGAATTTAATGAAACAAATTAATTTTCGGTACTTTTTATTGAACAAGATTGTTAGTTAACTAATTAAGTTTATAAACATTATGGACCAAATTATATATTATGGACGAATAACTTGAAATTTAATCTTAAAGTTTTAATTTTGGGAATGGAACAGCCCAGGGGACTTATTTCGGTGGTTTACGGATTTATAGCAAAAAAACCAAAATTTATTTCATTTTAGTTTTCAATGCTCCAAATAGAAATGTTTTTTTACTTTGGTAATAAATTTTTTTTAGTAACAAAATAACAATTTTTCTAATAAAAAAATGCCTGGGACAGCAAAAAACATCCTTACAAAGAATCACCCATATATTCTTGAGACAAGAAAATTTTCTCAAGAATAATACTTTTTTTTTTTCTGTATAATTTTTTACAATTAAAAATTTAATAATCTAAACAATTAATTTAATTTGATAAAAAAAATTATTTTATTAAAGTTTGATCTGTTTAATTAAAAAAATTTTGTCTGGCAAAAATCTTCACTATAAATTTTTTAAAACTAATTTTTTTGTTAAATTATAAACTAAAATTTGACCATTGAGATTTTTTTAGTTAACTAAAAAATTATTTTTTTTTTTTTGATCAAACTCTTAAAAAATAATTCAACAATTTTTTTTATAAATCAAATTAATTTTTTTTTATCTAAATTTAAACTTTTCCGACTGTCGTAAATTCTGCCAGTCGGTATCTGTAAAACCACCCTCATTATCGATTAACTTGCAACCCTTGGTTCTGTTTTATCTGCGTTGATACCGATGTTTCGCTACGAACCAGTGGTGGATACTGCAAAGGATATTTTAATGCAATTACTATATGATAACATTATTGCCAGGAGCAGCCTTCGGCAGGAGCGTACACCCCTCAGACGGAAGCGATATCACCGACGTTACCGGAGCCGAGTAATCAAGAGGATGCCCAGTTTCGAAGCACCAAGGACGATTTGCTGCAGCAGATAGCTAAAGTCGATCGTGAGATTTCGAAAAGGGAAATTCAAATCGGGAAGCTGAGGAGAAAGCTGGTTGAGCTTGAAGAAGCTGCTAGCAAACCTTTGGATAGCAGTGGCCTTAAACGGCCGGTTGAGGAACAGTCTCAACCAAAACATCAGTCATTAGCGCAAAAAATTTATGCTGAAAATAGAGTAAGTATATTTTTTTACTTTTAAGTAACAGTGATCAGCAATACCCATTTTTTTTAATTACTTTGATTATATTATTATTTTTATTTCAATTAATAATTAATCAAAAAAAAGTTAGTAATTAGCTGGAAAAAATGATTCATTTTTCTAAAAATTAATAAAGTATATTACTGATTATTTAAAAAAATTATTAACTAGCCGGAAAAAATAAAAGACAGGTTAATTGATATTAGAAATTTATTTATAATTTTATAGCAATAAAATTATTAAGAAAAAAATTAATAAACAAATTCCACATGTGAAAATTAAAAAAACTCGCAATCTTGCAGTAACTATAGGACTTGTAAACTACGAAAAAAGAATATTTTGCTTTATTAAATGATGATTTTTGTCAAATTACACTGTACTTTCTTAACTATTGACATTTTTAAAGATATCAACTCATTCCGATGTTACATACATCAAGAGCTTTCATTTGAGTACCCACATGTATTTTTGATATATTTTTGATATATACATATATATAATATATATAAATATACGAAAATTTGATGTGGGTACTCAAATGAAATGTCTCAATGAGTGTAACATCAGGATGAGCTTATATCTTTAAAAATGTCAATAGTTGACAAGATACAATGTCATTTCTCAACTATTGACATTTTTAAAGATATAAGCTCATCCTGATGTTATACTCATCAAGAGCTTTCATTTGAGTACCCACATGCATTTTGATATATTTTTCATATATACATATATACATAATATATATAAATATATGAAATATTGATGTGGGTACTCAAATGAAAGGTCTCAATGAGTGTAACATCGGGATGTGCTTATATCGTTAAAATGTCAATATTTCACAAGATACAATGTCATTTCTTAATTATGTATCTATAGATCATTTTCGAATGCAGCCCAAATACTTATCATATAATTAATAATTTTATTTGCTGATCACTGTTAAGTAACTATCCAATTATACTTAAGTAAATTAATTAGACAAAAATAAAAACATTTAATAAAATTTTCAGAAAAAGGCGGAAGAAGCGCATCGACTGTTAGATAAATTAGGACCTGAAGTAAGACTGCCGCTGTATAATCAGCCCTCGGATACGAAGATCTACCAAGACAACAAAACCAAGCACCAGTCGTGTATGAAAGCTCGACTGGTAGCGAGGCTACGAAAAGAGCACAGCGAACGAGCGGCTCTCCAGCTCCAGCAATCCCAAACTTACGCGGTTCTCGTGCAAGAATGGCACCGTAAGATCGACAGGCTGGAGGCCGCGCAGAAGAGGAAGTCCAAGGAGACCAAGAACCGCGAGTTCTTCGAAAAGGTATTCCCGGAGCTTCGAAAACAGAGGGAAGATAAAGAACGGTTCAACAGGGTTGGTGCGAGAATTAAGAGTGAAGCTGATCTCGAAGAAATAATGGACGGTCTTCAGGAGCAAGAGGTATTAATTTTTATTTTTAATTGTCAACTCTAACTTCGAAATTATTTTATTAGAAAATAAAACTAATTATTTTCTAATAAATAAATCAATTGTCAAGAATGATAAAAAAAGCGGCTGGTTGATAACAGCTGGAGTATTATTACCAGTTCAGGCAAAATTTATTTGTTTGTTAAGAATATTTCTATCTTAAGGTGATTAATTGGGAGAAGTGAAGAGAAAGGCACGTTACTGAACTTTTACGCGATAATGTCGTCAATGTATCTTCTGTCCTATTTATCCTTCTATCCCTGGTACTTTTTTTCACTCCTCTATTAATACTTTATCCAACTAATCATCCGCTTGTGTTATTATTTTTTCATTAATTCTAACACTTACGGATTAATAGCTTAAGGGGGAACACCACTGTGACGTTCGAAAAAAAAAGATGATTTTCGAGAATTTTTTTTTGACAGGAAAAATAAAGAAATTTGAGGACCGAATTTTTTTTATTTTATTAAGGGTATATTAAAGATTATTACCCTAAATTTTTATTAAAAAGTTATTAACAATCTCTAAGAGCACTAGAAAAATTTTCCCCTACATGGTCGCATCGATAACTCAAAAACGGATTATTTGAAAATAAAAATCCAAATTGCTTTTTAATAAATAATTAAATTATTAATAGTTAATAAATTCTTCTATCAATGTACAGTTGAGGAGCTGACATTCAAAAGGGTATCTTTTCATTTATGATTAATCGAGACAAAAAATTGGTTATCTTCAATTATAAGGATTTATATTGAATTTTTTTTAATTTAACTAGAAATTTAAAAGTTCAGAAAACTGGTCTTTTAAAATATGAAAAGATACCCTTTTAAAAATCAGCTCCTCAGTTATAGAAGGATTTGTTTATATTAATAATAAAAAACTTTATTAACTGTTAATAAATGATCTTTTAACATCATAGGATTTAATAAATATTTATTAACAGTTAATAAGTAATTATTAAGTACAGTTTATTAACTGTTAATAAATATTTATTAATAGTTAATGAATATTTGTTAACTGTTAACAAATATTTATTTAAAATAAAAAGCAATTTTCTTTTGACACTTTTTATGACCCTATAGCTGGAATACATGATAATAATTAAATTCACTAGATAAATTAACGTTTTTAATATTTAAAAATATAAAAAATAATTATGAGCTGTGATAGAATTTGCTATTTTACAATAAACGTTATTATAATGTAATATAATTAATGGAAATAATTTATAAAGATGATTTTTGTTTATAAGCAATCTTCATATCATATGACATTGCAAGCCAAACAAATTCACTCAACGAAATATTTATTAACTGTTAATAAATAAAAAATTGTCTTTAAATAAATTAAATTCTTAATAGTTAATAAATCCTTCTATCTCTCGACGAGATTGTTAATAACTTTGTAATAATTCAATATTTTTTACCAAAAATTTAGGATAATAATCTTTAATATATTAATAAAATAAAAAAAATTTCTTTATTTTCCGTCAAAAAAATTCCCTAAAATCCTTTTTTTTACCGTCACCCCCGCATGGAGAAATATATATGTCAAAAATATATGTCGCATATATAATATATATGCCGCATATATTTACGGAAAAAAAAAATTTTTCAACATATATTTTTCACATAGATGCTGACATATATGCAGAGATGTCAGAAATATATGTCGCATATATAATGTATGTGCCGCATATATTTACGCAAAAAAAAATATGTCAACATATATTTTTCACATAGATTCTGACATATATGCAGAGATACATGCTTGCATATATGTAGACATATATGTAAGATGCAACTGAAAAAAAAATTTCTAAGTTTGAGAATTTTTTTACTCAAATCAAAAAAGTTAAATTTTTCAAAATTATTTTCTTGATTCAAGTTACATTTTTTTCTGTGTATCTCTAGACACTTATATGCGCACATATATGTTCACATATATTTAGTGCAAAAAAAATATATGTGAAAATATATATTTGCATATATTTTTCGCATATATATTTTTCCATGCGGGGCCCCCTTTAATCCACTGTAATAACTTTTGCTTAATAACAATAATAATAATAATAATAATAATAATAACAATTATTATTGCTTCTAAAAAAATTTCGTCCAAGCAATAGCTTAACAAAATAATGGCTTTTTATTAACTCAGCTTAATACTTTATTAAATTTAACAATTAATCCACTGTGTGAAGTGTTTTGCTTACCTAACAAAAATATTTTAACTTTAAATTAACTACTACAAGCTTTTATTGGTTAAAAAAAAATTGCAATTAGTGAATTAAAAATTAAAAAAAAATTATTGACTCCGGACAAAGTCCAGAGCATTGATTTTTTTCACTGGTCTTCTACTAGTCTATAGATCAGACGACGGATAGCTCACACAACTGGATTGTCATGGAGTTGGATGGACTTATTACGGAATAAAAAATTTAATTAATAATTATTTAGAAAAATTCAGTGCAATTTTTAGTAGTTTCTTTAAAAAATCAAAGTCGCGTTTTTTTATTTATTTTTCTCTTAGTTGACTATTTAGATTATTATTTCGTTCTGTTGACAATTATTCTAACTTTTGGATGCTTCATGGAAGATTCTTTACCTATTACTGATTTCCCAGGAAGAAGTATCAGCCGAGTTAAAAAATGCCATTATTGCCCGTCAGGTTAGTAACGTGCTATTCTTCTTTTCACTAAAATATCATCTTTCTTCTCTTCTGTTATGGCAAATAGCAGTAAAATAAATAAATAAATTAATTAAAAAAAAAAGAATTAATTATTTTTCTTTTGTGAAATAAAAAATAATTATTTTTATTAATGGGAAAAACCTCCAAGTTAAATTTTAGACCAAGTAAAAGTATGAGGGGCATCATTTAACACCATTATAAAAGTACCGGTAAGCAATTATTATTAATGTTTGGTTGATAATGGGTACTTACAGATGGAGGATAAGAAGATGCGCTCGTATGCTGTTATTCCGCCTTTACTTCTGGACAAAAAGCAACGAAGAATAGCTTTTCAAAATCGTAATGGGCTGCTACAGCCGGAAGAACTTGAGGCACTTCACAGCGAACGGAAGCTAATAAACGTCTGGAGTCCCGAGGAGCATGAACTCTTTAAAGAAAAATATCTTCAACATCCCAAGAACTTTGGAGCGATAGCTCAATCTCTTGAACATAAATCTGTTGCAGACTGTGTGCATCATTACTACCTCACTAAAAAAGCTGAAAACTATAAACAGTTGTTAAGGAAATCGCGACAGCGGACACGTAGTTCGAGAAATAATCCTAACAATAAGGTAATTTTTATTTATATCATCATTAGGATGGAGCGAAAAATGTTTCTTGTTCTGGTATTTATGTGTAGAAATAATAATTTAAAAAAACAAATTTTTTTTTCGACTGATAAGAATTAATAAATATGATAATTGTCAATCATTCGAAAATTATCTCTAAATGCAAAATTAAGAAATGACCCTGTATCTCGTTAACCATTGACATTTTTAGAGATATAAGCTCATCCCGATGTTACCCGATGTTACACTCAGCACGACCTTTCATTTAAATACCCACATCAATTTTTCATATATTTTATATATTTATGAATATTATATAGATGTATATATGAAAAATATATATTAAAATGCATGTGGGTACTCAAATGAAAGCTCTTGATGAGTGTAACATCAGGATGTGCTTATATCTTTAAAAATGTCAATAGTTAAAAAATTACATTATCTTAACTAATGATATTTTTAAAGATATAAGCTCATCCTGACATTATACTCATCGAGACCTTTTTTATGAGTACCCACATCAATTTTTCATATATTTATATGTTTTATATATATGTATATATGAAAAATATATCAAATTGCATGTGGGTATTCAAATGAAAGCTCTTGATGAGTGTAGCATTGGGATGAGCTTATATCTTTAAAAACGTCAATATTTAAGAAAGTACAGTGCAATTTGACAAAAGTCATTATTTAATAATGCAAAATTCTATTTATTTATGGTTCATAAGTCACGGCAGTCACATAGTGACTGCAAGGGTTGCTAGTTTATTTTAAAAATCAATGGACCACCTTAAAATATTGAGAAAAAAAATTTTTTTACTTACATTATAAAGTGGCCCATTGGTTTTTTAAAATAAATAATCAATTTAATTTTTTGGTTTCAATAGAAAAATTATTTTTAAACTTACAATTTTTTGCAATTTTCAACTTAACTTTTCCTTAATGAAAAAAAAAACAAGCATGTTGTTTTTTTTTTATTGTTTAAAAATTGCCATAAAATTTAGAAAAAAATTTTTTTTATGAATTTAAAGAATTTTCTTTTAAAACTAAAAAGTCAAATTAATTATTATTATTATTATTATTTATTTTAAACATCATTCAAAAAAATGTTGTTGTTACATAAGTTCTAAATTTATACCTTTAATTTTATAAACAAAAAATTTTTTTTCGCTCCATTTTAATTAAGTTGAACAACAAATTTATCCAAACAATAATTTCTAATAATAATTTTCTTAAATTGCAGGTTAACAATAGTAATTCTAGCATTGGAGCGATAGATATATTAACGACAGGTGTAACGACAAGACTGCAGCGTGAGCAGCAACAGAAAACCCAAGAAAATCCTCAGAACGCAGCGTCGACGTCGACAACAACTTCGACGACATCAACAACGACAACGACTACCTCTTCTAGTTCCTCGTCGACAAGTACTGCGACAAGTACAACGTCAGCTTCGACGACTGTAAGTTCGTCTCTCCCGACGACAACGAGCTCCACCAGCAGTAGCAGCACCACCAGCAATACTGGCACCACCTCCTCGACAAGTGATCCCTCAGTCGTCACCACTAGTGTTACGTCCGTCCAGAGTTCCACGACCTCGACAACAAGTGTACTGACGACGAGCTCGTCGACGTCTAGCGGGTCTAGCGCTAAAGATGCGAGAGAAGCGAATAAAGAAAATAAAAATGACACCAAGGATTCTGTCTCGAAGGATGTTAAAAAGGATGTTAAAGAGGATCCTGCTGACGTTACTCCAACCAAGGATTCTAAATTAACGTAAGTATAATTCAATTAGTATCAATTTAACATTAGATATTTTCATTTTCAATTACAGTAATTGTTTGCACATCTACCAGAATAATATTATAATAATAAATTCAATTTTATTGATAAAAATGTTCATCCAGACGGAACTAAGTCGGTGTCCAAACAACTCCCTCGTATTCGCTTCTCTCAAATTTACAAATTAAACCTTTACGTTCAATGGAAAAAAATTCGATTTTTTTTATTAAAAATTCAACGATAAAATAAAAAGGGTTCATTTAATATCGCAGCCCTTACTTTTATACCATGTTATTATAAGTTAATAAAAAAATGGGTTTGATGGTAACTCGAATTGAGAGAATCAATCACGAGATCAGTTATTATAAAATAGTAATGCTAATCAATAGAGTTAACTGGCGATGGGGATTGTTTGCACAGCAATCCACTCGTTGTTCATTATCTTAATTGATCCAAGCCTCCCAGATTTCATTGTCGTTTAAGTCACTATGTGAATTTAATTAATATCATATCATAGCATACCAAGCCATACAATATCATAGTGCATTCAGAATGCAAACTACCAGTTCTATCTCTCGTCTCTTTTATTTTTAGTCTCGGGAATTATTTCATCCATCAAATTAAATTGCCAATTAATGTAATTTTGGCGAATCTTAATTCGTGATTTATTAATTAATTTTAAATAGACTATTATTTAGGATTGTGAAATTCAATTGATGGATTTTATGTGAATGAATGAAATTCGATTTTGGGATAATTTTTTTATTTAAAATTAGCAACCGTGAACTATAAAAAAATAAAATTTTGGGTTATTAAATAGTGACTTTTGTTAAGTTGCACTGTTCTTTCTTTAATATTGACATTTTTTAAGATATAAGCTCATTCCGATGTTACACTCGTCAAGAGCTGTCATTTGAGTATCCACATGCATTTTTTATATATTTTTCATATATTCATATATATATAATATATACATATATATAAATATATGAAAAATTGATGTAGGTATTCAAATGAAAGGTCTCGATGAGTGTCTCGATGAGTGTAACATCGAGATGAGCTTATATCTTTAAAAAGGTCAATAACAAAGAAATGACATTGTATCTTGTCAACTAATGATATTTTTAAAGATATAAGCTCATCCTGAGATTACACTCATTGAAACCTTTCATTTGAGTACCCATATCAAAATTTCATATATTTATATATATTATATATATGTATATATGAAAAATATATCAAAAATGCATGTGGGTACTCAAATGACAGCTCTTGATGAGTTCAACATCGAGATGAGCTTATATCTTTAAAAATGTCAATGTTTCACAAGATATTTGTTAAATTGCACTTTACTTTCTTAGCTATCGACGTTTTTAAAGATATAAGCTCATCCTGATGTTACACTCGTCAAGTGCTTTCATTTGAGTACCCACATGCATTTTGATATATTTTTCATATATTCATATATATATAAATATATAAAATATATGAAAAATTGATGTGGGTACTCAAATGAAAGGTCTCAATGAGTGTAACATCGGGATGAGCTTATATCTTCAAAAAAGTCAATAGTTCATCAGATACAAGGTCATTTCTTAATTATGTATCTAGAGATAATTTTTGAATGCAGCCTAAATACTTCTTATGAATTGACTATCAGTGAAAATGAAATTAAACCTTGAAAAGGCACAAATTAAAGTCAAAATCTTTGCAATGATACTAAATTTTACTAAAAAAAACCAATTTTATCATATGACTATCCAGGAAACTAATTTTTTTTTATTCTTTTAATAATATAGATTACTTAAATCACATTTTTTCACAATTTTTAATATATTTTTTTTATTAAAAGTTTTAAAATTTAATTTTTATATTAAAAAAATTTTGCATCAAATTATTAAACTTATATTAAAAAATATTTATATTAAATTATAAAATATTTACAATTTTATTTTCTATCACTTCAATATTAAATATATTTTTTTCAGATCTGAGAACACAAGTGGATTTACATCATCAACCGGAACTGGTAGTGAAGCGGTAATGCAAACACCGGAGCCTAAGGACAAAAAGAAGTCTGCGAGTACAACAGCAAGTAACGCGAGTGCAAGTGCAAACAGATCTAAAGAAAAAAAGAAAGAGAACAACCATGCGACACCGATGGAGACTAGTGACGAGGAGGCTCAAAACATCGAGTCTATCGGTAAGTAAATTTTATTTATTCACCCACTAACCAGAATAATAATCATCATTATCATTACCAATTAATTATTAATTTAATTATTTGCACGAGGTAAAATTTGTAAATTACCTTTGTCTCGCTAATTATTCTACGTTATTACATTAATTATATCATTGCAAAATGGATATTGGATGATGATGCATTAGATATAATTAATATTATGGGTTATCTCACAAATGAATCATCGAATAACACAGATATTACAGTGAAGCCATTGCCTAAAGCCCACCTACTGTTCTATCATGCGTTTCAAACGTTTAAATGTTAGCTTAACATTCAATCAATAATAATAATTACTGACACACAAATTTGTTTTGTCGAATTATTATTTTATTGATTTTGCATTCACTTCTACAAAAAATCCCAAACTTTTAATTTTTCAATTTTATTTATGTTATTTATTTTTTATTCAGAACATATATTTACACTTACACTTAAAAGTACTCAAATAAAATCAGAAATATTGAAAAAAAAAAATATTTAAAATTTATTAACTTATTTTTTTTATTATGTAGATTAAATAAAGTATTTAATAAATTTCAATATTTTCGGTGAAATTTTAAAAGTAGGATTTGTAATTATGAAAAAATTTGAATCATTATGAATATTAATTTTGGAATTACAGGAAATATTTGTTTCAAAAAAACAGTAACATTTTTTTTTTT